ACAGATGTTAGTTAGCTCCTACTTAACTCCAGGAATGATAGCAGCCCATGCCTGGCCTTTCGTGCTATGTCTGGTGAAATTAAGTGATGAAATAGATGTGGAAAACATATCAGAGAAATGCTCATGAGTATTGCATTATTAATCCTGTTTTTAAGTCATTATTTTGTGGTCATTTAAAATCATTATTTCATATTATGCAGCGTTTTACCAATAATCATGTCCGCAATTGGAATTGGGCCGATAATTGCATAATCAGGCAACAATCAGAATCAGTTGAATTTGTCAAGTTTCCCAATCACAGAAAACCGACTGCCGAGAAATTAAAAATAACACCACCCAGACTACTTTATTCACAACAACAATCTTCTGATTTGTAAGTATGCTTACAATCATGACCCTGTATTTTTCCATTTTTTTTCAATACAAAACATTATTCACCCTAGAATAAAATATCTCTGTCTGTTTCTCATTTATTTACATAAGTTGAAATGCTGAACGTAAGAAAGGTTAAAAAATAATGCTCAGCACACCCATTGTTTTACACACCGTACATAAGCAAATGGTCAATAACAGCACCCTATGCACAGAGCTAATACATACTACATGCTTGCCGAAGATCTATATGGACTTTTCTCATGAAGATGGTATGCCACGTGTTTCCCCGTTAGTACCACACTGTGTATTAGCTCATTGTTTGGGAAGGTTGCTGAAGAGCACATGACAACAGAGCGATTGAAAATTTGGAATGTCCCATTACTTTCAAATAAGGGGTTCTGTCAACTGTGTTAATTGTGCATGTCACTGTCGGAGATATCACTATAAGTTGAAAGTGGTAAACAGGTCCCTTCCTGCCTTTCTTTTCTGAATGTTCCTCTGACTGCCTCTCATCTGACTCGCTAGCCCCCTGCAGATCAATACCTCTGCAGACTCTACGTTGCCACACCACGTTGATACAGAAGATCCCTGATCTAATTTCTTCTTCCATCACCCCTTCTCCAGCAAAGATGAAGACTCAAACCAAGATAGAAACACACCCAGCCAACTAAAATCTTTCAACCACCCCTTATCTAGGAAAAAATTCCTGCTCTCCTAGCCAACCAACGACAATGACTTCCATGCCTATCACTCCCCCTCTTCTTCATGCCACCTCAATACCACTCTAGTTTAATCTGGCATTGGTCAGGTAGGTTATTCGGCACCTGATCAGTGAAGGTGGGTTTTCTCAGGGTACTCCAATTTCCCTCCCACAGCTAACTCTCTATACATTGGATTTTTAGATCCCACTGCCCTGAAGGACCATAATTCCGTTAATGGCCATTGTTTTGAAGTGAAACAAACCCACGAACAATATAAACCTTTAATTTTCTATGTGTAGCCCCTCATTTCCATCACTAACAGGGTGAAGAGAAGCAATTGCTTCTGAACGTTCCCGGGTTGTCTCCCGAGGTTTCCCCCAGGAGAATTTAAATTGAAAGACCTGCCACGAAAAAAAAATATATACAAATATTTACAAAATAACTAACCTACTGAACAGCTATGGAACATTCCATTTTAACATTTGACAGTCCTGTTATTTATGAATATACATAGTTCCAAGAAATTGCCTTAAAGTTAGTTGTGGCTCGACAAATGTGATTGTTGATTGAATCGATTGCTTTTGAAT